TGCCAAAACCAGTGCTGAGTACTCTCTGCCTAAGAAAACCCTATGAAATGCAGGTTTCCACTAATTGAGAGGTGATTTGAAGGCACACATGTGCATAAGGAATGAGCTATGCTTCTACTCTGCCCCATCAGGCAAATAGCATCAAGGAATATTTCTGATAATATTAGAATATCTGAAAGCAGCACCTTTGCTACTTCTTATTTCATGATATCTGCCATTTTAAGAAACAGAGACCTGTGTGAAGATCCCTTACCTTGCCAGCCTGGGTGGCAGGGCCTAGGAGAGGCAGGCTAGTGAGTTTCAGCCTTAGAAGGCCTGGCAGAGGGCAGCAGGAGCCATTTTAGTTTAGGGAAAGCTCCATTTCAGAGAGGGGGAGTGGCCTAGGCCTGAGCCAACCTTAGAGCAGCCAGGATTGGTTTATTAAAGGGGGGCGGAGTTAGACTATTTGGAGGGAAAGAAAGAAGTTTTTTCAGTGAGTCAGTCTGTTGATGTTAGAGTTAGAGCAGGATTACAGAATTAGGAGTTCGTGTTAGGAATAGGCAGTTTGCCTGAAGTTTGCCAGCGAAGTGGGCTGTAGCAAACTGGGTACAGCTATTTAAGGAAGAAATAGCTGGGTTTTATATTTGTAACAAAGAAAGAACCATTCTCATGCAACCGCTACGCTTTCAAGAACAAGAACATTTTATCTGTAACAGCCAAGCCTATTAAACTGCATTCACTTCATTCTGTACTATATTAAATAAACTTTTCTTGTTTATTTTAAAAACTTAAAAGCCTGAGTCCAGTGTGCCTTTGTGGCTATAATTCCCTTTAAATAAGAAAATAAAACACAGTACTTGGTGGTAATGAAAGCCCTTTTTAATAGTTTAACCAGCTAGAGGGTTCCTGTTCATTTGGTTTATGGTGGCAGCGAAAGTTTAAATAGAGAGACATCCCCTCAAACGTTATTTAGGTGCCAGTGAAGTCTTTATAATTTGAGGGACAGTGGTGGGATTGTTTGACCCCCTGCCCAGACAGCCATAAAGGAGCCTATATAATTGGTGGCAGTTGGTGGGATCTGTTTACCCCCTGTCCAGTTATTGTTTGGCCACTCGACGTGCCTTTATAATTTGGTGGCAGATGGTGGGATTGATCGTATTGCCATCTGCATGTCTTTATAACCTGCTTGAATTAATTTATTGTTATTTGGAGTCATTGCACACAGTACCAAATAATATTGCTTATCCAAATGCAGCAGACCCACTAATTCAATGGACTCCATGTAAGCATGTAAGATCTCATTGATGCAATGGTCTTCTCTGGGTAGGACTAATACTTGAATTTAGGTCACAGGACAGAAGTGCGGAGATATGTTGATCAGAAGGACAATTGTCATCATTTCCAATCTAGTCCTTTCCTGGCTTAGTTGTCTTTGAATTTAACTGACTCTCCAATTCAAGTGTTGAATTTTCCCAGAAAGAATGATCATGTGCATGTTACAATTTACCACTAAACTATATCTTATGGGGAGTATGTGGAGCCTTTCACATTATTTCTGTGATTGCTTTCTGCCTTGCATTGAACATAAAATATTATCTATACCTATTTAAAAGTAAGTAAGGGTTTATAGGAGTGCAATCTAAAATGTTACGGTACAGATTTGCAATTATCGATGTACACTGGAATTTCTTCCATGTGAAAGTGTATTTATGCATTATTTCTTTTTATGATGTACATTTTCTTATTTAAAAATGTAACAAAAATGGGGAGGGAGATTTTTTGGGGGTGGAACAGATTAATAGTATTTCAAGGAAAAATTGCTTTGAGATAAGAGCATTTTGAGTTCAGAGTTTGGCCATGGAACAAATTACTCCCTTAAGTCAAGGTATCACTCTACTGTTTCTCTGGGGGTAGACTATTCCATGTCTGCTCACAATATGCCTCACTGATTTTAGTGGCATTTATTTCCATTAGTCATAAACTCAACATTTATCAATTTACATGAAGGATGGTAACTCAAGTGGTCAAAAATCTGGAAAGCGTGCCCTATGAGGAGCAGCCTACAGAGCTGGCCATGTTTGGCCTGCAGAAGAAAAGGTTGAGAGGGGACATAATTTGAAAGAATGTCATAAGGAAGAGGGAGCAGGCTTGTTTTCAGCTGCCCTGAAGCCTAGGGCTCAGAGCAATGGGTTCAAATTACAAGAAGAAGATTCCACCTCAACATTAACAAGAACTTCCTGATCATAAGAGCTATTCAACAGTGGAACTTTCTGTCTTGGAGTGTGGTGAAAGCTCCCTCTTTGGAGGCTCTTAAACAGAGACTCAATGGCCATCTGCTGGGGGTGCTTTGATTGTAGTATTCTTATTATTTATTTATTTATTTATTTACCTTACTTATATACCGCTGTTCTCAGCCCGAAGGCGACTCACAGCGGTTCACAACAAATACGAACAGCAAAAATTCAGTGCTACAGTATAGAAACAGTTAACAACCTAACACATTACACAATTAATAAACAGTTACTACAATACCCATTCACTGTCGTCTCGTCATCAAAAACATGTTCCAGATTTGTCATCCATTGTTCCATTCCAGTGTTCATTAACCAATCATTGCACTAATTATTGGAACGCCTGCTCAAACAGCCAGGTCTTCACTTTTTTGCGGAATACCATTAGAGATGGTGCTAGTCTAATGTCCGTAGGAAGGGCGTTCCACAGCCGAGGAGCCACCACCGAGAAGGCCCTATCTCTCGTCCCCGCCAGCCGAGCTTGAGAAGCAGGCGGGATTGAGAGCAGGGTCTCCCTGGAAGATCTCAAAGTCCTGGTGGGTTCATAGGCAGAGATGCGGTCGGATAGGTAGCTTGGGCCGGAACCGTTTAGGGCTTTAAAGGCCAACGCCAGCACTTTGAATTCAGCCCGGTAGCCAGTGGAGTTGGCGCAACAGGGGGGTTGTATGCTCCCTGCACTCCGCTCCTGATAAAATCATGGCTGCCGAGCGTTGGACTAGTTGGAGCTTCCGAGCTGTCTTCAAAGGCAACCCCACGTAGAGAGCGTTGCAGTAGTCTAAACGGGATGTAACCAGAGCGTGGACTACCGTGGCCAAGTCAGACTTCCCAAGGTACGGGCGCAGCTGGCGCACAAGCTTTATTCTTGTTCATTTCTTCTTTCCATGCTGTCAAGCTCCAGTATTCTCCCCCTCCTCAATGTACTTCCTTACTAGGTTGTTATTTTGAAGGTCTCCACTTGAAACTAAGGTCTCTTATTTCCAACATCTTTGCTTTGGGAGTCATCAGAAGAATAAATCACTACAGTGGATCTGGCAGATGACATTGAACAATTTGTTATCTGGTAGTGTCCAAGATTATTTGATACTAGGCAAAGAAGCTAGGGATGTCATCATGCTGTAGACAGCTCCAAATACAGTAAATAACTGTTTCCTTTCTTCCAATCTTTGAATAAGGCATCTCATGCTAGAGAAAACTGGATGACAGCTGTAATCAATGGCAGGGAAAGTGGCATGCAATATTCCTATGGGCAGCAATAAATGGCATGCTACCTTAATCGTAAAGAAGTTTCAAACTCCTATAACAAGGGATACATAAAAATGAGATGTGAAACTGCGGAGATTTAAGGCCTTCCTAAAGGTTTTATTTGTCACCTAACTTCTGTCACATACTCTGGAAGAGATAATGATAACATGTATATTTAGAATATAGCATGTGAATTATTTTCATGATTCAAGAAATCCCAGGCAGAAATTCTAGCAGATGCTATTTACTCTGCTGTATACTAAACTATAGATGTGCTGTTACACCAAGAAGCATTACATTATTATTAATATCTGTAAGCACCACACATTTAAGACCAAAATGAAATTAGGGTGGTTATGTATTGCAGATGACTGGAAGGCTGTCATTTGGATGATGTATAGTGCGGCACTAAGAGCTGCTGTTCCAATGAAGTATTATACCGAATGCCATCACTCCAGTGATATATTTCATTGTAGTATAAGAACCAATGTGAAAATAGATCGTCAAAACAATTCCTAGGGGCAATATATCCCCTCAGCAAGGGCAATCCACTTAATGTTGGCTGATAGCTTACACAATGTGTTTGCATGTAAATAAGAGGAATATATTTCTATATACCTGGCATAAACATTTTTCTGTGCTGTTTGTTATTGTTATTGCATGTGCTGATTGTGCAATGATTTGGAATGAATTACAGTGCAATGAAGATTTTATCCATAGCTAATTATAAGTCACTTTTTGGTTTCTTTTCCTTATTCACTTTCCATATTTATGAGAAAGGGGGGTATGTTATGAATACAGTATCTGTTGCACCCTTGTAACACCTAAAGATGGTCAAGTAGTTTTTAATGCACTCCTGATACAAGGAAAGTTACTCTAGTGATGGCCTCCATAGTCAGAGACCAAGGACCTCTTCACACACCGTTCTGTTTCACTGGCAGGTGTGCAGGGTGCCTCATGGTGTCCCATGTGCCTCCCTCCTTCCCCATCATATGGTGGGGACAGGAGAAGGTGTGTTGGCACCCTGTTCCCATCACATGGGCAAAAGAGTGGCAATGCACATTGCTCCATTGCCCTTTTCCCCATCATATCAGGAAAAGGAGAGGAAAATGCGGGTAGTTCCAATATTTGCCCCCCACTTCAGGAGGAATGTAGGCAGGGCAAGCCAGCATCGTCTGATGACACTTGGCAGGCCCCATCCAAAAGAAGAAAAAGCACACAAAAATCCTGTATAGAGGCCCTAGGAATGTTTTCATTTGCATTGTTGCCATGTGACCCACTAGATGTTGATGATTTGTGTTTCTGGTTCTGATCCCATCAGTCCTAAGAAGTATAGTCAATGGTGAGGAATCCACGAGGAATATTGTGAAAAGATATAGAATAGTCTACCATTAAAAACCCACTGTCATGTGCTTAACTCCGCCTGCCTTTAAATCAACAAGTTTGGATCCAGATCTAAATGAGCTGGGCAATTAGAAGTGGACTTACCTGTTTTTCCTTCCAAGCCTCTGAAAATGTGATACACAGGGGATCAGAAGAGCTTGCTAAGTGCCATTTGATTAGTCATTTAATGATCATTGAAGGATGTACCATGGATGAATTTTCCAATCTTAAATTCAGTCTCTGTAAAATAAGGAGAATATGCAAGAATAAAATTCTTTTCCACATATTCTTTCATTTTTATTCCACAAATATAATCAGTGCACAGATCAGCTTGACTTTCGAGTATATATCTGCTGTGAAGCTCTCATTTCAGTTATAGTCTGCATACTTCAGCTCCAAATCAGAATTATTTTAGATGGCTTGTGTCATTTTGAGAGTTGAATAAAATGGTGTTTGACTCAAATTGTTAACTGTGCATTTCTAAAAAGCAATGAGATGCCAGAACCTCATATTTTGATGAAAAATGCATTAACAACTTTAATTATATTTTTAATCCAACAGTCCATTTAATGAAAAGGTTGTCCCATATGAGCAGTATTCTGCATATTTTTACACTTAGGAAAAAATGCATATGATAAAAGTGTCTCTGAAATGAGCCAATATGCAGACATTTGTTTTTTAAAGCTTTGCATAGCTTATCATATATATGGCAAGCAGCCATATATTATAGCTCATGATGAGCTTAGTATAATGCATAGCTGGTATCCTGTTCAGCAGTTACAAATTCATAAGATGGAAAATGAACTTTATCACATGAGGCAAAAGCTCTGGCACTGCAGCTGAACCATCACATTTGGTGATGGTCCCTATCCCATTATGCTGCCAGTTTGCCTCCTCATCCCACGGTTCTCCTCTCCCTAGCCACTGAAGGGTAAAACCCCTAAATAGCTTCTAATCTCACTAAATTCTCATTATTTACCTTGTTGAGATATATCCTTTCCATTTTGTTGCTGAGTGCCAACACTAAGGTGATGCCAAAGGTGGGATCCCCCCCCCCCGCCCATTCTCAAGTTGGCTGTTTTCTTTGATTTTATATATTTTACATTGACTTTTTGTTTTTAATGTTTACATTTTTCAGAAAATAAAATTAAAATAAAGGTAGGTGGAGTTACGATGAACCATGGGATGAATCAATACAATTTGGCTAATGAAAAGAGGTGTGATATTAATGTGATCAACCCAGTATATATTCATTATCTATGGTAATGCAACTGTAGATGAATAGTCAATTGGTGTGATGAAGTATGTAGAATCTTGTAACTGTTAAGGATTTATGTTTATGAATGTTTATGTTTATGACCAAATGGGAGTCAAAATGCTGCTTTTCCATGCAATGCCCTGACCAAAGTGTTTCCAGGCTGCTTCATATTGGAGTGCTGGGGAGAGATGCCTGCAGCACTTTTGTGATCATGGGACACCATGAGAAAAGCAGCTGTGGCAGGACCCCTAAGATGTCTTTCCTGCAGCTTATTCTTAATGCACACTATGATTGTGGGCAGACAGCATTTCCCTGCACCTTGATCTCCAACACATTAGAATTGCTTTAGTCAGGATACTTCCTGCGAAGCTGAAATTGTAGTTTTTTTCAGTGCTAATATCATCAGACTATGACAACCAAATTCCATTGTTAAAATAAAGACACTGGATCTCAGCCAATGTTTTTACATCCTGCGTTATACTTCAAAAACACAATGGTTCCAAAGTGTTTGGTAAAGATAGTGTCCAGCTGGATACTAGAATTCTGTGACAACTATATTTAAATATCTGAAAGTATTTCATGAAGTACACTTGTTTTCTGCTCCATGAGAGACTAGAGTAAAAAAGAAACAATCAAGAGTAAAAAACAACAACACAATTTTGACTGTAAGAGCTGTTTTAGAGTAGAACTGACTGCCTTGAAATGTGCTGGACTTTCCTTTATAGGAGGCTTTTAAACAGTTGGATAGTCATCTCTCAGGAATACTTTACTTGCATATTCCAGAAGTGTATTGAACTCAAAAAACTCCCATCTTCAAATTGTATTGTTTATTTTACCATGTTAGTCCAGAATTAGTATACAGTTTCATATGTCATCCCCTGTGTGAAAGCCAGCATGTTATAGTGGTTTGAGTTCTGGATAAATCTCAGGAAATTAGAGTTTGAATCCCCACTTCATCATGAAAACCCATTGGATGATATTGGTCAAGACACTCTCACTCAGCCTCAGAGGAAGGCAAAGGCAAAGCCCCTCTGAACAAATATTGCAAAGAAAACCTTATGATACGTCCACCTTAAGAAATTAATTAAAGGAAGCAATGTCAGATCAGGCACATAACAATAATTTTCCTTATAGCTATATAGCAAGAAAACATACCACAACTGTACTGAATGCATTTGCCCAGTGCAGATGGCTCTGAATTCAGCATGGTTTTTAAAATGAAGATTTTTTGAAATTTGAAATTGCTTGATAGTTTGAACTTTTTAAAAATTGAGTACTGAAAACAACACTGATGATTTCATATATCTCTATGAATAATTTTTTCCCTTATCCTTCTTTTTTGCTTCTAAAATTCAAAGATCTTTCTTCTACCTGAAACTTTAGGATATATCTGTATCTCTACTTTTATCATTAGCTATAGATATGGATGTATGCTGAATTAAATTGAAAGAAAAGAAAGAAAAGGAATCACCCATAAGGGAGTGATACAGGGTAAACCAGGTCTCTTGAAAATACTATGGACCTCATCACACAAGGAAATTTTAGCATCCTGGGACACTTAATAATAATAATAATAATAATAATTATTATTATTATTATTATTATTATTATTATTATTTATATCCCACACCATCTCCCCAAGGGGACTTGGAACGGCTTTAGTTGAGGGATGCATGGGCACACTGTCCATCACATGATGTCCCTCAACTTCCAGCATAGGCCTTGCCCCCAACTGGCATGGAAGTGTCCTAGGATGCTTCCTGGTTAACATGGAAAAGGTGCTGTGTTCTGTCCCAGTTGGGCGACACTTCCCCCTTGTGATGGGGGAAGTGTTACTATGCTGGAGCAGGATGCGGGGCAACAGTGTCACATGGTGCACCTGCCTTTTCACCACTCTTGCTGGCAAAATGGCATGGGGTGATAAGGCTGTATGTTCCATTTTTCCCTTATGCATATTTCTGTTAGAATTTTTTCTCTGCTATTACCCTGCTGTTATTACCCTTACCAGGAGAAACGACAGGCAAACTACAGGTATCAGGACTTCTTGCCAGAAAAAAAAAACTAATTGCAATCTAGTGTTTGTGTATTTACTTTGAGAAACAATCAGAGGAAATAATTAAACACCACCAACCATCCTTGCACTGCTGTCTCCATCCAACACATGCAGCCATGTGGCTGTTTTTAATTAAACAAATTACTGGAAAAACTAATGACAAGTCTCCAGCATCACAGCTGGAGCATCATATCGGACATATAAATAAAACTAAATATTCATTATGTGTGTGTGTGTGTGTGTGTGAAGACTGATAGACAGGGTTCAAGCCAAAGCTCTCACACAACTCCCTTGTTGATTTTGTAAGCCAGATGGAGAAATACTGTGACTTTTAGTGAATTTTGAAACTCATTTTCTTAATTAATACAAAATTTATCCATTTCACTTCCAAATCTGGAGAGGAAATGTCAAAATTTCTATATCTCAACATTTTGTTTAAAAGTGATCTCAATGTATATACAATATTGCAATTTAAATAAACCAAAATACATTGTTAAAAATTGTGATTTTATACATTCTATTAAATGCATGCTTATTACATTAAGATCAGCCAAAAGAAGCTAAAGGAAGAATAAGGAAAATGATGAATTATGTATTGGTTGGTTTAGAAAGCTTTAGAAAGCTTTCAACTAATGTTTCAAAGTACATAAATCAGTACACCACTATATAGCAATAACAATCAGAATAAATAATGTGTCAAGAAAATGCAGAAAGGATGTGTTGATTTAGCTGTCTTAACTTTGCTGAGAGATCACTTTTACTGATCTCATGAGAGAGCTAGAGAATAGAGGACAGAAATCGCATACATAACTAGGGATATGCATAGAAATGAAGATACCTGGGTTGTCAGCAGAAAATAACGTGTAAGGCAAATGCCAAATAAATAAATAAAAAGGTTACATGGTGGTGTTTCAAAATATTAGTTATTGATAGCAGAATGCTTTCATTCAATTCAAGAATTGCACATAATAGCCATGGATGTTGTTTACATTTATAAGAATTATCACTAGAGTTCATAGCAAGGCCTTAACTCAGAGGAACAGTGTGGTCTAGAAGGAAAAATGTGCTTTGTTTTAAGTTGCTTTTTTTGCTGTTTTTTTAAATGGTGTGCTGCTGGTCTCTGCTGCTCTAGACCAGGTTTTGGCTAAATGTGGACCATGCTTCATGCATGGCTCTTTGGCCCCTTCGACATAGCTGAATAAAATCCCACATTATGTTCTTTGAACTGGAATATATGGCAGTGTGGACTGAGATAACCCAGTTCATAGCAGATATTGTGGGATTTTCCGCCTTGATATTCTGGGTTATATGGCTATGTGGAAGAGCCCTAAGACTCTCACTCTCCAGGTATCATTTTTGGTTCTAAAATCTTTCTTTCCACAGTTTTGGTTAGGCACATGATTCCTTTCTCTTCTAATCTTTCATTTCCTTCCCTCATTGTCTCTTTCCCCCTTTTGATCCCATCATAACTAAACTTCTTTCCATTTATACCTTTTATCTTATTTTTCTTTTTTCATGCAACTTCTGCCTAAACCTCTCCCATGTTACTGAGGACCCTTCCACACAGCTGAATAAAATCCCACATTATCGGCTTTGAACTGGAACATATGACAGTGTGGACTCAGAATGGCCCCAAGTCTTTCTATTCTTGCTATCCCTTTCCATCTCTACAGTTTCCAGCTCTTTCTACCCCTTCCCATGTGTTTTAGTTGCATTGATGTTTTTCCTCTTTTCTTCCCCATTTCTTTTACGTTCCCTCCCAAACTATTCTGGTGGGATTAGCCTTCCCTTCCCTTCCCTATCTCTTTCTATTTCTCTCTCATCTCATTTCTTCTTCCACTCCCAAATCTTCTAGCTATACTCATAATTTTTCTTCTCTGCCTGTCTCACGTAGTATTTACCCACCCCCAAAACTAGAAACCGTGAGTA